AGCTGAAATCAGGTTGCTCAGATCAGACACCTGAACCAGCTCCTTTCCCCTGCTGGGTGGAACAGTCATTCTGGCTCATGCTGGCAATGCAAAGCAAGAAGCAGACTAAAATCTACAGAGATTAAGCCATTTACATGCTGAAGCAGTAAAGGGAAGGAAGAAATGAATTTAAGAGAGGCCCTCACCACAGATGCTCCTAGTGTGATGCAGCTATATGCTGTTAATTTTCTTAGGCCGAGTCAGACAGCTGAGGGAGCTCATACACCAAAACCCACTTTGTGTCAAAAAGGCATCTCAGCAGGCACAGCCAACGACCACTATCTACCAGCGCCTCGCACGGGAAGGACACCTCTCATTAGCAAGTTATTTTGAAACAAATTGGAGCTGGTCTATATATCTATAGGTCAGAAAGTACGTAAATCAGCTGAACATGGATTTTATTTTAAAGTACTGAAATAAGTCTCACAGGACAAGCACTCAGACGTGTGTTGGAACACGCAGTACCTGCCATGTGAAAATGAGTCTTTATTTCCTGCTATTACCTTAAGGGAGTGCCCCAAAATACCACAGAGACAACTAGCTGCTGTTGCTACATACTTCAGTGCGAACAGCGTATCTCTAGGAGATGATCTTTGTAGCTACTTAAAGGACCTACAGATTCAGCCTCCTCATGCTCCTTCCAGATGTCTCCTGCTAGCTAGCCAGGACTCCCTCTTCTTCCCACTGGGAACAGCGGTTTCCATCAGAAAAACGGTTTCTTCTTCCGCTTGACTGTTGCCCTTCCAAATCTTGCACTTTTCCATCTATACTTCCAAATAAAATACCAGTCCTGAAAAGCCAATATTGTGAAAAAATGTAACTTAAAAAATAACCAGCAAGGACTCTGCAGCAGGCAACCTCTTCATGGGCCATGTGGGCCTGCACAACACCTGTAAGCAGCTGAAAAAACCCTTACCTTACTTGTCTAGAAATATCTCCCAAAATAGAAGCAGTCACTGCACTCACCTGCAGAGCTCCCTTGTCTTCATCCTTACCTGTATTACAACCTTTGAAGTATTCTGGGAGACACTATTGTGGCAAAATGACAAAGCAAGGCACTAAGCAGAAGTCATTTCTTCTTTTTTTTTTAAACATCTTTTTATTAGCACAGTAACAAATGCAGACTTAAGTAGCCCACAACATACAACCAATCCACTGAGTGACTCCTATTCCACGCCTTACAGTTAAACAGCTTAAGGTATTTCACTACAGGTTGCCATAAGTCCTGATTAAAACCTTTATTCTTTTCACAAAGATTGGCTTATAAAATAATACATTAACTACTTCTCATTTCATATATGAGGCCATATATCCACTTCGCCATATCACAGATCATGAGATGACAGTCTTTAAAAAGGATTTGTTAAATACCAATGTGCCTTCCATAGGGGAAAACGACCCCAACATCTTTTTACAAAAAACCCACCCAAAACAAAATAAGATCCCCAAATCAAAAACAAAAAAGCAAAAACAGTGTGGAGAGTCTTGAAAGGTCTTTTACATAAATGTCAACATATGTACCTGTACAAAATTAAGCTGTTTTAATCTTTTACGTACTGCAAGCAAACTGAAAACCAGAAAAGTCTAAGAAGTTTACATTCTTCTCGGTACTATGTGTGAGCTAATATTGCTGAACTAAATACAGTCTTAAAATATGCTATTCCCAATTCTAGCTGTCTACTGTAGCAAGATACCTTAAGTTACAACAACAAAATCTTAGGAAATAAAAGACTGAATAAAATCTGTTATAGAAATACCCTACTCTTTACCAGCACCCTCCCTCCTCCCACCCCTTCAAAGTCATAAGCAGCTCTTTCCATCACAGACAAATAATGCAAGAGTTTGACAAAACTCCAACTTATGTAGCATATCTTTTGGTCCATTGCCTGGCCATTCTGTCATGCTCTGCTCTGTTAGTCATATACTGAGTGGCAATACTTCCAACCAGGGGGTCAGCTGAAAAGAGAATAATATACAACTTATTTCAGGCAAGTGGCGAATAAAAACTTTAAAAATATGGTTGAAGTGTGAGTTTAATACTCACAAAGCCCTAGTACACTACAGAACACCAGCATATTTATGTTGCTGGGTCTTCATCAGTGCGTGGCTATTTATAGCACAAGGAAACAAATACCAACTAAAGTTTAATAAGCTTAAAAGACAAGTCATATTTTGTATTAGTGAAAGATTTCACCAATTTATGTGTTTTGGGTTCATTTTACCTTTTGTAAAACTGCCTGGGATACACTTACTGTTAAGCATGTTTGTATCAATGGAAGCCTGACTTCTAGGAAAGATGAGATCACACAAAAAGGTTATTTTTCTAAACCTTTTTTTTTTCCTTCTCCTAAACACATTATATGACCTGTCTGACATTTCTCTCATAGTTTATAGATACCCATACATAAACTGTAAAATTGACTTTATAAAGAAAGATGCATTCCCTTTAACTGGTATGGATGGCTGGAGTAAGTGGGAGCAATGACGAGTTTTAGTAACCGCATTTAAATAGATGGCGTATTTAAATAGAAAGTAAATAGCTAATCCACTAATTTTCAGAACTCGGTGTGTATCTTTTATAGCTCATATCTGCTACCAAATTAGCATGGTTTTGCACTTGAGAGGAGTGTAGGACCCTTCTTCCTCTCCTTCCCAAGCCCAATTTTGGATTTTTAATTTGCAGTGGGGGCACTGTTGCCTTCCCCACAGCTCAGCCCTGGCAGAGATGAACGTGGGGGCAGGCAGGGGCATTTGACCCTCTCTAGTCCCTCGGGAGCTGCCCCGAGGACAGAAACGTGCTGTGGTAGAGGCCAGAGCTATGCGGCCTGCAGCCAACAGGATGAGATGAGGGCCAAGTTATTTAAATACTGAGCATGGGGTGTGTGTGAGTGAGTGTGTGAGTGAGTGTGTGTGCGTGTGTACATGCACACACACACACATATATATAAATATATATATAACCTTACAGGTAGCCTCATCACTGTGCAGGGCACTTACCCGGGTTGCAGTCTGTGAGAAGGGAGCAGATGGAGAGGAGAACTTTAGAAATGGTTAATGCTGGACTCCAGTTGTCTTTTAAAATGTCCAGGCAGATGACGCCTTGACTGTTAATATTACAGTGGTAGATTCTTGTCCGAAACGTGACCTACGAGAAACGGCTATTAGACTGGGGGCTAATGCATCACGCGCGAGAGGGTGATAAACAACATGAGCTACCGACGGTCAATTTTTATTTTACTTTACTGTTGTTTTAAGAAACTTTTTTTTTTGTGGAGGCGACATCTTGGCTCGCCGCGCCGGGCGTGCGCTTTGCCCGTAGCCCCTCCAACACCACCCCGAACCTCTGGTTTTCTCCTGTACCCTCCTGCCTTCGTCAGAACTGGCAAATTCCCGGGGCGGGGGGAGGCGGGGGCGGATGAACTAACTGTCCTTTTCTCGTCCCCTTTGGACTTAAATCAATTTTACCCAAAATGCCCCAACCCTTTTACATCGTTTGCCATAGCACCAGCGCTGAGGATAGGTTTGGTACGTACCCATGCACTAGGCATGGCAAGGCAGGGGCCGTGTTAACTTCACTAAGGTCCCCAGATTAAAGTTTGTGGTTGCCATTAATATGCTAAAGTTAATTGTATTTATCGTAACAAAGACATAAGTACTCTCAAAGCCTTCAAAGTTGTCAAATCTCTGCGTTTTACCATGAGGTGTTAGGGGAAGTTTGAGGGCGCCAGATCCCACACAGAAATAATTACCTAGGAATTTCAGTTTGTATTAAAGAGAAGCTTCTAGCTGATAATTCCAGGGTAAAATATAAAGATATTACTCAAGTACAGCTCAAAGCCAGAGGCAAATAACAACCACCTTCCTTTTAACTAAAATAAATAAAAATCTCATAAGTGTGCAGCTGACAGTACTGCTTCTAGCCTCCCTGAATACACCACAGTTGTGTTAATAAACAGCCACCCTACTGACACTACTAAAGGTCACATTACAGTTTTTGCTTTTAAAGAAAAGGAAACTGAAATTCAGAGCTTAAGTGATTTATCAAAAACCTCAAAATGAATCAGTGCTGTCTCAGCATGTCTAAGCAAAGAGTCACAAATGACACATTTATAATCTTGCTGCCAAACCATGGCCAAGGTCCCAAGTTTGGGTGCTTAAGGTCACTACGAAATCCCGCTTTTTTTTCCTTAGGTTATGTCTTTTTGCTCACAGCACCAAAGGAGTCTGATGTGTTAACACCATCCACCAACATTTTTCTCTCCTTGGGTTCCCGATCACTTGTGAAAACCTTTGGATACACCATGGTACTTGGAAGGTTCTCTCCTTGGGTTCCCGATCACTTGTACCATGGTACTTAGAAGTGACAAGAGCTGCAAATCCAAAGTGCTCTGCATACAGAGGCATCCATTGGTTTTTACAGTTTTCAAATTTGGGAGGTATGAATGAACTGGGCAACTTGCCACATAAGTTATCCAAAAGGGAAACAAAACCATGACAACACTGTTTTCAGGAGAGCGTGACCTGTAGTAAGGCCTTATCCCGGCTCCCTTGATGAACAGTGAAAACACTTTTGACGGAACTCGCATGAATTAGGATTATCTACATGAATAAAGGTTGTAGGGTTCATGCCCTAAATCCTCAGAATTTGTCAGCTATCCACACCCACAATTTTTATTGTCTGTTTATAGGTCACAGGGGTATTTGTGAAACACACATTTGGTAAGCGTGTGGTATGACAAGAACACACTTGTGTTTTCCCCTGAGATTAGACCAGCCCACACATAAAACTTGCCAGTCAACCCTCTTTCCCCCCTCTTTCTGATGCAAAAACATTGGCCATGACCCTCCCTCTTCCAGGCTCTGGAGCAGATGTGGGATGGGGTGGGGTTACCAGCTACAAAACGGCAGCGCCTCCTGTTTTCCACGTTTCCAAGAACACACGCCATGTACAGAGCACTCCAGCTATTTTTGGTCTCACAACTGCAGTTCCTTGTCATACAGGAGACACCCACACGGCACACTTGGGGAGACTTCCCACTTTGTTCCTTGTAAATTGCTTTGGTTTTAGTTTAAAATGAAAAAACAATAGGCAAAAAAATCCTTCGTTTTTCCACATTATGTGTGGAAATAGCATAATGTCTGTGAGAGACCAGAGATGCACCCCCTGCATCCCTCAGAATAAGCTCCAAAAACAAGAATCCTGTTGCTATCTGCACAGAGAACCTCAGAACAGGTAGGGAAAAAAAACCCACAAAAACAAACATAAAAACAACATCATGATGTTTCCTAGATCAAATTACCCTCAAAGGGAAGAGCAGCGAGGTCTCTACAGCCACGCGGGACCCGCGCACATCAGCCTGCACGGAGGGCTGACCTGGCTCTGTGGCACCTGCCCTAACCCACACCGTTCACTGTCAAGTGAAAGAGAAGCTTGTGGCATTTACAATTGCTGGCAATGACTTTGCTTCTGCGTCCCAAACAGCCTCAGTCCAGCCCACTGCTCACTCAGTATTTCTCTATTTGACCTACAGCTTTGGTCTCTTTCCAAGAAGGCTTCTAACTGTAGGTGAGGTAATAATTTTAACAGATTAAACACTTCCAGAAGGGGAAGTGTGGAGTATTTCCAAGTTGATACAATAAGTACCAAATTAACAGACAGGTCAAGAGGTCTAGCTTGAGCACAACAGTTAAATGCTTGGTATCTGAGAAAGCAATCTCTTTAGACAGTCTCTCAGTCCAGTGGACTAATAACTTAGAACAAGGCACAAATCGTATTTGCCTCTGAGAATCAGACTTACATTTTTATTATTTAGGGAAGGAGAAGAAAGAGAGAAGAAATAAAAGTTCCTTATACGTGCAGAAGAGCCTGGAGAAACCTTAAGGGTTTTGCCATGCCACCAAAAGTGGTTTTCTCCAGTTTCTCTGCCTACTGAAAGCACTGCGGGAAAGATGTGAATTTGTTTTCACTTAAGCAGCAAGCCAGAGCTGGGATGGTGTCAGACACATGTAGCCCAGCTGTTTGCCATTTACAGTTTTTGCTGATGGCACAAAAGCCAGCAGCGCAGAGAACCCAATGAAACTGGGAAAGGAGGAGGAATTACAGGGCCACTTACAAACAAACTGTTTAGAGTAAATGCTCATTATACATTATGGGGGTGGGGGGAAAGCAGATTCGCAGCAAAACCAGGAGAAACTGAGATACGTAGAAAGCAGCACGACGTATTCAGGGTCAAGAGACTATTGTGTGAAATAGTAGAAAAGTAGAGTGGAACTGAGCTATCCTTTGGGAATGTCTCACCTGAAATCACATTAAAGCTGTAACTACACAAAGTTAAGCACAGCTGTTCCAAAGGCACAAAGCTGATCTCAACCTTACCCTGAAGTGACAGTGTAGGTTAATTTACACAACCAGCAAAATAGGAAAGGGGGGAAGGAAGTGGTTAGAGGTTATTAATATGAATGATAAAAGCACGCACCAGGTCAACCCAAGCTACTGTTTTTACCTCAGCAAATGAAATCTAACCAAACTATAACACACCATTTGGGAAAACATTTAGTGTAATAGTATGAAACAATAGCAGCCATCCTGAGGGCCAAATACTGAGCTCTTAAATTCTCATTATACTTGTTTATTGGATACTCCTGAACACAGGCCCACCCGGCATATGCCTGTCTCAATAGCTATTTGTAACAAAAAGGCAAAAACAGAACACATTAAATAGGGGGGGCCGGGAGGGAGAGAGGAGAGAGAGAGAACAGATTAAGACTAGTATCGTCCAAGCGCTGTATGAAGCATTCAGTGGATGCAAAAGATCTCCACTATACATATTCAGCACAAAGAGAGGGAGTACCTGGCCCCTTTTCAGATTTCTCCCACTGAAGTCCCCAGTATTGTCTGATGTATTTCAAAGCCAAATTTTAAGACTTCTCACTTCTCCACGCTCACAGTAGTGCAGGTTGACAAGCTACTCTTCATATTTGCAGACAGAAAAATTAAGGCATCGGTGGAACAGCCAACAAACTTTGTGCACAAGTGAAACGACATGAGGAAAACAGTGCAGACGGCAGCTCTCCTTCCAGGAGGCAGCTAATACCACTTACAGCACAGGCACTCAGATGCCTGCACTGCGGCAACACCTTCCCTCAACAGGTTGCTCTAACATATCCACCAAGGTATTAAACTCGCATTTGGAGCTAGCACCAGCCCTCAAAGCCTGCGCCTGTGCATCGTCACCACACACTGCTTACAGGATGCTCGTCAACAGCGTCTGTCAGTAGTGGCTGAACTGCAGCACCTCCTCTCAGCCTTCTACGAACCTGGCAGCCAGCCGCCATGACCAGTTTCAGCTCTTCCTCTCCCCTCTTTTTTCATTTTAAGAGGCAAGTCCTTTAATGACATTTCATTTTCAAGTTATGAAGGGGGTTCTGCTAGAGACACTTTGCCATGGGGCAGCCCAATGTAGGATTGTCTTCGCAGTTACAGAGGACTCAATGAGGGCACTAAAGGTTTCTTCCTTGCTGAAGGTTTACGGAGGAAGATTCAGCAAAAAACGAGTTCTTCCACTCTAGTCAGCTTAATCTTTTCAGAGGCCAAGGTTTTCAGAATTGCTTTTAACCATTCTGCTACTCTTAATGTTTATCATTAGTACGATACACTGGCATCTGAACTGGCCGTTTCTTCACTTCTTGCCCCAAACTATAGGAAAGCTATGGCAATCACATTAGTCCTAGCAGTTTCAAATGACCCACAAATAATATTTGCCAGTCAGTGCAAGCAGTTGGGCAACTTGAAATCAACAAATTACTGGGAAGAAAGTAGGAGCAAGCATTCTGTTAACATGGTAATTGCATTTTCCACGCTGTCACTAATACAAAGGGAAGGTGTTAACGCAGGAGCCACTATAACAGTCTTTGGTTTTCAGCATGGAAAAGGTTCTTCATTTGGAACCCAAAGGGCACAAATAGCACAGGTGGGTGCTTTTAGATCACTGCTATGCTTTCTCCTACATCCCGCCTCCATGGGACTGAAGCAATGTGTATTTTATTAACATAGGTATGTGTGGTTTGTAAACCAGCTTAGATGCTGCTAGATGAAAGACTCCATTTAAATGCAACTCTGCTACAGTGCCGTGAACCTCCACTGAACTAGTTTTTTGAGGCTTTAATATGTGGTGCTGTTTTTTTTTTTTTTTAAATCCAGTGTGTCTCAGTCTGGGTGAAGGTTTAGATCCAAAGATAGGGCAAAGAGATCCCAGTCAGAGGCCCAGAAGAGAAAGCAGGGCGGCACTATTTGACAAAACTGTATTTTTGGTTCTGCATCAGAGAACTCAGCGCACGGGACCATCTCAGTGCTTTGGCAGTTACAATAAGGTCTGCTGAGGTATCAAGCTGGACAAACCTGAGATCATAAGTGCCTGTAGCGTGGGAAGGAAAATGTGGCATAGTTATCTGTGAAACAGTTATGAAGTGCTTCTTACGCAAGCTAATTACAAACAAAATAATAAAGTATTCGGGACTGAATTAAAATTCCAATCCAAGACATCGAAGCAAAACCATCCATACAGCCAGAGAGCCTCCCAAAGAGGGATGGGGCAGGCATCAGTAGGAAACCCCTACAGATGTCCCAAGGGATATGATTCTTCTTGTGAGTCAGAGCCTTAAAGCTTAGGGGGGAATTTAATGTCCTGATGCTACCAAAAAAAATAGTTACGTGGACAAGAACAATTCAACAGTTTGTTTCATTTAGGAGACTTGCATTAATTCATCTGCTATGACCAATGGACAGTGTCTCCACTAAAAGGTACTGGTGGCCTAGACTGTGGGCAGGAAGCCTTTTATACTCCAGACTAGTCTCTGAAGACACTGCAGTCACTGGTGTGGCTGCTTTTGAGCAGCAAGTTAAACATGCTCATGACTGCTTTCCGAGGCAAGGCAAACACAATGTGTATGTGCAACCCCCTCTTTTTTTAATGAACACCGTCTCTGACCACATACATGAACCACAAGATAACGTTTACTTGCCTTGGTATTTGTCTTGTAGCATTAGAACACAACAAGGTAACATAAAAGTTTCAAAAATACCACACAACTACAGAAAAAGATTGCTACTACCCAAGCAAGTGAACAGGTGCTCAGAAAACCCCAAACCTAAATTCCACTTTAGTGGCCAAAGCACATAAAAATACTACACTTTATTAACTGAGTGATTAGAGAAACAAATACTGTTCCCTCTCCCTCCTTCCCCAAGTTTGTTTATTTTTCAGTTTCTCAGTCCTGTCCTGATGTCTGTACTAACTGCATAGGCTCTCTTAAACCAAAATGGAAAAGAAAACGAGCTCTAAAACAGTGATCAAATGAACTGGAAATGCAATTAACATTAGCTAAGAGAAACCAATGTAGTGTCTGAAATGAGCTTAAACTTGTTCTTAAAGTAGAACAGCTTTCAAATGGGCTGCATCCCATTAACACTGCTTGCTGCTAAGTGCTCTGCTGTGCATTCGCGACATAAGATATCAACTACAGGTCTCTTACCTTTGGAGGCTTGAAAGGGTATTCTGGTGTAAATGTGATGTCAAGGAAGAAAACACCTCCTTCATAGACTGAGCCTGGAGGACCTAGAATGGTTGATCTCCATTCATAGATGTTATCACCTTTGGGACCAGCGCTAAGAGATTAAAAAAAAAAAAGTTTAGGAATATTGCCACAGTTTGAATAAATATGGCTTGGGATATTCTCAGAGCATGATGCAACAGAATGGTCTCAATGTTACATTTCACATGCCACCTGGAGTAAAGACCATGACAGAAATTAGACTGAAAGCTTCCAGAAAATCCCAGAAGTCTTATCTGGGCTCAGTATTTCAGGCTGCTCAGCAAACGTCTGCTGAGAAACTAGAAATGGCTTCTTTCACCTGACATTTCTAAAAGAAACATTGCCCAGAACTTCCAAACAAATTAAAACACAATAATCTCAACAATGGAAAACATCAAAGTTTCAAAGAAAAGTTGTTCCTATTTTTCAGAAATGGGTGTTCTGGCTTGCTATAACTGCAATGCATTAAAGACCACATTAAATAAATAAGGAACTGATACTGATTTTATTCATCCTAAAATAGAGCACACAAGATTAAAAGTATATTGCCGTATTATTGCTGAACTGTGGCTCACTCTGTGCCTCACTTTGTATAATTAAGTGAATCCAAGTGTATGATGATACTCTTAAATGTCAGGATTTCCCTCACTCATATCATTTTGCCACAACAGTCTCTAAAATAAAGCGACATGGACTTATCCCATTGACACCATCTGCATTACAGAACTACGTTTTGTAAGGAGAATTAAACTAAAACCGTGCTTTCTCAAATCACCTTTGTCTAGACTGTCCCCAACCTGCCAGCTCCTCTCAAGCAGCCACACGCACCAAAGACACTGCAGAACACAAATGTCCATTTGTTGAAAACCAGCCAACGCTTGCATTCTGCAGCATGCCAGATGTCTCCGCGTACGTCTAAGCACAGCTCAACCTGTAATGCCATTAATGGTTTAGGGCTGCACTGCTACCTCTTCCTTTCTGTGCTGCTGTTGTGGTATTTTATCAGGGAGATGCTAGAGCTGGAAACTCCCTCTGCATGAAGGCAGGTGCTGACACAGCTCTTCGCTCTGGCTTCAGAAATCCCTTCTCCCCTCGGTCTGCATTTTAACCTTGCTGCTGCAGAGAAAGCCCTTCCTCTTCCCTCCCCTTCCTTTTATCCTGGCTGCTGCGAGGCTGAGGGATAAACAAAGGCTCCTCTCACATTATAACAAGTACGGAGCAGTAATACTTGAGAGGGAAAGCAATCCAATGCTTTCAATATATACATGACAATATACATTTGATTACTGTGAAGGGAACCAAAGTAATTGCTAGTGCTGCTGGCGTTAGCGTTACGAATAGAAATACAATTGCAAAAACAAAAATTCTCAACAACCGGGATCAGAAGGTGGGTTTTTCCTGCCCTTTGCAGAGCAGTGAACACGTTCTTGACAGGAGGGGAATCAGAGGAGAGAAAGCCAATTAGTTTTGTTTTCAAATCTCTCTAAAACTTCATTTTCAGATTCCACAGAAAATAAAAGTTCATGGTATTTTGGGGCTAGCTATTTCAGTAATAGTGGAGCTATCTCTCAGAGCATGTTGTAGGGGAGGGAGAACACGTAGGAAGGTAGTAAAAGAGAGACCGGTTCTGTGCACAGTGATGCACCATCTGTTGGGGAAAGATTTCTCTCATCAAAACAAAACCTCACACTGCTTACAAGAATGGCAGGAAATTAAAACAAAAACCTTTCCACACTGAAGATAACTGGCATCCTGCTCTACCTTAATGACTTGTCCCTGTCCTGTATGGGCCCATATATCTGGGCACTCATTGCTCTCCAGCTACCACTTGCTTTGTGGACTGGAATAGCACTGTATTTCGACAAGAAGCTCTAGCTCTTGAAAGACAGCAGCTTAGCTATGAAATCCTACCAGAAAAGTCTCTCCTGGGCACCCTTAGCCACCACTCCGAGGAATCACCTCTCTATACAGGCATTAGCAACCTACTGAACCACCCCATTGCTCCAAGTTACACCAGAGATCATCCTCCTCCCCTCTCTCCCCTAAAGATGGAGCTACTGAACGGAACAGGTACTTGAGATTTGTTAGTACCAATTTGCTCTTGGAATTTATATCACAGGACCTGCCAAGTGGGAGCACTTCAACACTGGAGAAATGTGGTGTGCTATTAGCACTGAATACAGCCTTCTGAAGCAGTGAGAAATATTTCAACACTTTGCATTTTATTCCCAGCTTCAACCCAGAGGACTGTCAATAAAAGAAATCCCACTGACTTAAAAATAACGTATTATTATTTATAATAGTCTTAGAAATCTCTTGTGCCCTATTAGGTTTCCAATTAGAGCTATCACTGCGTGCAAGTAATATACTGCTAGACCTCTGTATTAAAAGAGTGCAACATCTTTGTAAAACATCAGTAGGCTTTAGCAGTGATGTACTAAGCTTACCTTTTAAGCTTTTCATAATTCAATTAACAGAGTGAAATAGCTGTAGATTTCCATTTTTTACATATTAACACTGATTTCTTATAAAGGAAAGACTGAAAGAGGGAGATGCGAGACAGCTTCAGAGTGTAATATTGCTCGGGTTTAAATTAGGATTAGGTAATATCAAGCAGCTCAAGAAGACCCAGCACTTAATAGAAAAGTGACGATCCTGGAACATAGCTTAAGTGCAGTAGCATTAACTTTGGTGGAGACATAAAACTTGTCAAAGGTTAAAGATTACATTCTTTGTTTAAAATCCTAGCAATTACCCACTTCAAAAAGAAATTCACTGATACAGAGACACGGGGCTCCCAGGCACAGCTGTCACCTTCCCTGGTGGATGTCACCACTGCTCAAATTAAGTGTCTATATCCACTAATGCAACATCTTGAAGCTGCCCAGCATATGACCACTGCGAAGTCAATTTTAGCCAATTATACAGAAGTCGTTTCCACTGCAAGACAAGAGTATGCGAGGGACAACTTTCTGTAGTATTAAACTGAATAACCCACAACCTCTTCACTTCCAAAGAAAGAAACGAGAGAAGAATGAGAGTGAAAAGATGAGCTCAAAACCAAAAAACAAACAACAAAAACAACGCCCACCACAACCCACCAGAGTGTTATATCACTGCAACACAACAGTGCAGCTAAGCACCGCCCTTCCCTGACGAGGATGCGCTGCAGCCTCTGTAACTCTCCCGTTCCTTATCACCCCCAAGCTGTTGCTAGCCTGGCCTCGGGGCAAGTGTTTGTTAGGACACTAATGCCTTTAGGAAGTGGCCAGTGCAAAGGCAGGTTTTCATTCAAGGACCGTCTAACTTGTGAAGAAGTAACAGTCCGAACATTGCTGGTAAATGCAAGGAAGGAATTTCTAGACCCAGAGATGAGCCCCAGTTTGAAGATCTGCCCGAGGAAAGTCCCCACCAGCCTTGTGCCGCTTTGGAAAAAGCCCAGCTTGCTCTGCCTCCCTTGGCTTGTGGGTAACACGTCCTTTCGCTGCTTAAAAACCAACCAGCTGCACTAGCAACGCCCGCAGCCGAGGCTGGGGGCAGAACACAGCCGAGCTAAACAGGCAATTGCAGACGCAGAGCTCTTGTTTCCGAGCCCGAGCGCTCAGGGAGGACACGCACACCCGCACGTCCCCTTCCATGTGCTCCAGGGGCCGGACACAGAGCAGAGCCCAGCGGAGCGGCCGCCCTGCGCCTCCCGCCTGCCAGCGCGCCGGGCGCCAGCGCCGCGCTGCCCTGCACAGACCCGACCCTGCACCCACAGGGTCAGTGCCCTCTCTGCCCAGACACCCCTGGGCAAACTACGCAAAGCCGCGTGTGGAAGGCAGGATTTCTTGCTGTGCACCACACGCTCAAGGACTGGAGTCCCACGTTACACAGGGCTGACATTCTCCAGGGCAAGGTCCAGAAAGGAAGCACTAGGAAGGAGCCCACTGTTTGCGTCAGCTTGCTAAAACATTTGGAAACTACCTAGTCATTTCTAGGAATCAGCCACACGGTAACATAAGCTTTTTCTCTAGTAAAACCGTAGGCCAGTGATTACCTCAGTTCCTCTTCTGTGAGATGCAGAACACATGCAATAGCGCAGCACTGTACTGATAAGCAAATCAAAACCAGGCAGTGCTACCGGCACCGGATAGATACCCAGACACACCAAAGGGACGCACGTTCCTTTTAAAAAGGAACTATTCCAGCAGTCATTTAAAATGCCAGAGCACCTTTCCTCAGGATGAGGGGGACAATTTCATGGTATGCTGAAGCAAACAGCAGCCAATGAAAACTAGCAAGTGTTTTGATTAAAACCACAAGCAACAAAACTACAAACTCATATTTCAGCTACAACTTACCCCTATAAAGCCATTTTGTTCTGAAAAGGAAGAATCTGATGCAAGTAGCTGAACTGTTTTGAAGCTGCTTACTTATAGAAAAAATAAAGGTAATTTCCAAAAAAAACACTGCAGACTTGATCTTTCCAAGAGACATAGCTTAAACCAGAAAGAAACAACGTGCTAGAAATATATGGGAATTCCAAAGTGGCAGTGTACCTAAACTATGTCCCATGTAAAGCTATTCCATTGCAGGCTGATGGCAAACTGATAGGAAGCTTTAGGAAATATTTATGTGACTATTAGCCCACCATTTTTTTCCTCCCTTTTTTTTTTTTTTTTTTTTAAAAAAAAGGCAAGAAAAAAAATGCATTAGAAGCAGTTTGGCTGGTAGCTGCTAGGGAGGAAGGATAATATATTCATGTGAAGTTCTGGTGCTTCTTGATAATACACCAGATTCCAGACCTGGCATTACAAGTGCTGCCTCTTTTGGTAGCCCACCAGGAGGGTTCATGGTGGGGCTCCTCACCCAGGTCGTGAGGGTGAATTTGGGGTAGGAATTACACAGGTACCACAGAAGTCCCAGCTCACTGGGAGAGGCAGGAGCAGGGTCCTTGGAAGAAGACAGGACAGCTTCTTAACCACCGAGAACACCCACATTTACAAAATCCCTTATTCCAAGAAATTTTGCCCTACAGACCCTTAAGCTTTGTACATCACGGTCAAGTTAAAAACAAATGAGCAAAAAAAA